CGTTCTCTACGCAACCTTCAACCTACTCTCGCATTCATATTTTTTTCTTTTTTTTTTCCTCGCGCGGCCTCAAGAGTCTATGCAACGGCGATGCAATCGAACGACGGGGCGGAACCGCTTTTTGGCTGGTCTCAGAACCCGACTACATCAACGAAGGGTCAAAATCGAGGCGGATCGAAGGAGTTCGTAGTGGTTTTTTGCTGCGAGGGAAAATATTTTAATCGTCGGAATCCCGATTGATCAGGTAGGGTTTTGTTCTACTGGATAGTTATTTTCGTTTTCTGGTGTGATGTGTTCTACTTTTATGATTGTTCAATTTCATGTTCTGGCAAACCGATTGTTGTCGAAGATTTTGGGTATTTGTTCAAATTTGGTCTGGATGTATGCAGTTCTAATGTTCCTTTGTATAAGGATGGTTGAATGTGTGGTCAGATTTGATTGGGCGCAAATTATTGTAGTATTAGTTCTTTCATTTCTTAAAAAAAAAAGCTTGTTGATTTTTTTTTGACAGGGAAAGGATATGTTTAAAGTTGAATTGCCGTAACGTTGTGTTCATTTTTTCAAGTGCATTGCGGCTTAATGTATGCCGTGCCCTTCTTAGGGTTTTAATCCTGGAATACTTTGAATGGCCCTGTGTCTGTCTATTCGTGTGTGAACTGGGGTTGTGAGGAAAGTCTGTGTACGTTTTGGATTTGTGTTGCAGATCTAAGGATAACATGGCTGATGATGAAAATCAGAATGTGATGAAGGAGGAAGGTAATTATAATGTGCCAGATATAAGTATTCACCGAAAGTATTAAAGAAAAATACTATGTTTCTGTTTGCTATTGTGGATAGTAGTGCTTGCCTTTTGGTTTCAATTTTTTTCCGTGGCTTATTTCATTGACTTTTCCTTTCGACAAATAGTATGGCAACATTGTATAAGCTTGTTATATGGGCAGTTTGTTGAGTTTTCATCCTTTTGTTTATATTAAATAGCTCAAAGCTATTTGAATTTACCGAGTTCTAAAAAATTGCTGATTTAACAAAGTTCCAGGTAATAGACAAGTCTGTTTCTGGGACTTTCTTCATCACTATTCTTAACTGGTTACAAGGGTTACTCTTTTCGTCAGTAATTCACTTTTTGTGGGTTTGCATATTTTTTTGTGTAATCCTGTTGTAGGTACTTTTAATTTTGGGGCTTATGTGAGGTGACTTTTGATATCGGCCTCTTGTGTGTATCATAACCTGCACCTGTTCGGATAAAACCAAATGACGAAAGGTAAATTTTATGTCACTAATTTGTGTCATTTGCTTTTGTCTTTTTATAGTTTGGTGCTGATTTTATATACATCTGAATGGTGAATTTGGCTCTCTACTGACATGAGTTAATCTCTTTTAATTGCAGTTTTGAACTATTGAAGCTTGCAAAGATGGAATACTAAGGTACGACGAGGTATGATTTTGTGTAGAAACAAAACAAAAACAAATCATTTTGAAGACATTTGAGTCCTAATTAATGACGGAAAACTCAAAAGGCATAAGCAAATTCAAGAAAATATGTGTGTTATGTGGATTCTGGGCACAGGAAAACTTCAGTGATGCGCTTCTATTGACTTGGGAAATGATATGTTTTTCATTATTTTTCTCTCATTCTTGTGGAAAATAATAATTAAAAAAAAACAGAACCAGAGATTGAATTGTTAATATCTTGGTTGATAGAATAAAAATAACTTTTATTAGATGTCAAAAGTGATCATGTCTTCTTAATAGAGCCTTGTGAAAACTTG